CACCTGAGCACACTGCTGGCTCATGTTCAGGCAGCTGTCAACCAACACCCCCAGGTTCTTTTCTGCCAGGCAGCATGGGGTTGTTGTGACCAAAGTGCAGGACTTGGCACTTAGCCTTGTTGAACCTCATACAGCTGACCCTGGCCCAACGATCCAGCCTGTCCAGATCCCTCTGTAGAGCCTTCCTACAGCCCCCAGCAGATCAACGCTCCTGCCCAACTTGGTGTCATCTGCAGACTTACTGAGGGTGCACTCAATCCCCTTGTCCAGATCATTGATAAAGATATTAAACAGAACTGGCCCCAGTACTGAGCCCTGGGGAACACCACTTGTGACCGGCTGCCAACTGGATTTAACTCCATTCACCCCAAGTCTTTGGGCCTGGCCATCCAGCCAGTTTTTAACCCAGCGAAGGGTATGCCCATCCAAGCCATGAGCAGCCAGTTTCTCCAGGAGAATGCTGTGAGAAACAGTGTCAAAGGCTTTACTAAAGTCCAGGTAGACAACATCCACAGGCTTTCCTTCATCCACTAAGCAGGTCACCTTGTCACAGAAGGAGATCAGGTTAGTCAAGCAGGATGCGTCGCATCTTTCTTATAAGCCCCCTTTAAGTACTGAAAGTCTGCAATAAGGTTTCCCTGGAGCCTTCTCTTCTCCAGGCTGAACAACCCCAACTCTTTCAGCCTTTCCCCATAGGAGAGGTGTTCCATCCCTCTGATCAGTTTTGTGATCCTCCTCTGGACCCGCTCCAAAAGGTCCACATCTTTCTTGAACTGAGGACTCCAGAGCTGGATGCATGTATGCTGGATACATACATGGTGATATCAAAAGCTATCTAGATAACAGAAAGCAGTGTGAATCTCAGTGTCTTCAAGGAGGTGAACAAGGGAACAAACCTGATCAGAAGTGGGGAAACAGTGACTGAAATATTCAAAAGGCCTTTACTAAGATAAAAAGATCTCAAGATCTGTTCGGTTTTTTTTTTTTTTTTCCTGCAAAGGTTTTTTTGGCCCAAGGGCTCTTAGCAGCCCAGAAACTTTGGAATCTCTGAAATCCTTTGAAACCAGGACTGATGATGTGATTGTCATCATCCTTCCTAAAATGGGTGAGTCTTACTTGCTTGATGAAGAGTCCACTGCTGCAGTCCAGAAGTGTGTGACTGCACATAACACAGCAATAACACCCACGACAGGTTAATGATGACTTCAGCCTGCTGTGGAGGCACAGGAGCAGGGGTTGTTCCATGGAGGAGGTCAGGACCACTGGTGTTTCCACAGATCTCCACTGCAGGACGTAAGTCATTCCTGTGTGCTGGGTGGAGGTACAGGCCCACCTGCAACCCAGACTCTTGGACCTTTTTCCTCTCCCTTCCCATGCCTTTCAATCCCATCATTTGGGATTACCAGGTACCTTCATGGTTTCTCCTAATCACTTAAAGAAATATCTTAACAGGTCATTTGAAGAACAAAAGAGCAGGTGAGGTTTGATCTGCGTTACATCCATTTCATGCTCAACCTGAAACTTTTTTTCGCAGACCAGAAAGGTATAAAATTGTGAGGTTTCATGTCAATATCAAAAGTATTTTAGATATCATTTCACATTTGAGTTGTAACATCTCGAAGTTCCAACCAATCTTAAAAGAACTGTGTTAGAAAATGCTTTATGTGACTCATTTTAAATGTGATGTGGCCAAGATTCAACCCACTTAATTAGCTGGTGTGGTGGTGAATGATGAATAAGCTGAGAGAGATGCAGCCTAACTTGCAGCTCAACAGGGGGAATGGGATTCTGGCTTCTAAAACAACATTTCTCACAGAAATTATAGAAATATGACTTGGAGAGATGAGCTCAGACTCTCCTGCTGGTTAAAAGGCTGAAACTGGATTTGGTCATTAGGAGGTAATGTAATGGTTGCACACAAACACCTCTGAAAAGCAGTAAAAACCTTGGATGGGACCTAAATTCTTTTAGTCTCTGAAGACTGTTACTTTTAACTGATTTCTCCAATTTTTTTTTTTTAATTTCTTTTCAGAAATTGATAAATTTTATTTCCTTTTGACTAAGTCATCATTACAGGCTGTTTTGCATTTGTTTCTACAGACACAGTCATCAGTCTTTTCTGATTTGTCATATCTTATAGTTTCCCAACTGATGTTACCCAACCCTACTTAATGGATTTCCTCCTCCAGACCTCTCAGTCTATGTATGCTTGCGGGTCTACAGGCTGAAACCCTTGGCTATAATAAAACAGCCTCTTCCTAAGCCTCACAGCTTTTAACATTTTTTCTTGCTTGTATTTTTAGTTTTATCAATAGTCCATGGACTTATCTATTTCTAGTAAAATGTTTATTTTGTATTTGTTTCCAATCCCTTTAAAGAGAATGAAATAATTCTCTTCCAGAAGAATGATATCAGCCTCATGTCCTGCTCCACTCGTGCTTTTCCAAAGCAAGGCTAAGATGAATCTTGCTTTTGATTCAGTCTGAAACTACTGTTATTAATAGCATTTTCATACAGATTAATTTTCCATTTCCTGTGTAAAATGTCTTTTCTGAGATTATATGTAGGCTTTAGGGGGATAATTATACATTTCCAAATGTGAAGTGATAAAGTGCTGTTTGCAGAGACTGGACATGTTCTCTTGCAGCTGCAACTATAATGGCTCCATAGGCTATTGCTGCCTTCAGCTCATCCTTGCCAAAGACAAATGCTCCCTCAAATTTCCTGGGGGAGCTGCTCCCTGGCCTCTTTCATCCCAAATAATCCAGACTAGGATCTCTTTAAACTAACTGTGAAAGGACCTTGAATCATCCAAAGCTTAGAGGTGAGCCTACCTGGACCTTTTCATTACAGTGGACACACCATAAACACCCAGAGGGCTGTAAACTTCTAAAGGCTACTTTTAAGTTTAGCTACACGAGGACAATCAACGTTTAAAATACGGAAACTCAGTTTCTTCTCAGTGAGAACATAATAATATCACAGACTTTTTAAGTAAGTCTCCTTTCTCCTCACAATTTTTTGTCTCAGTCCAGCAACATTTCGTGGCATTTTGGGTTGCAGCAGGCTCCACACAGGCTAAATATTCCTAAGAAATTTGAGCTAGTGGCTGCCCCAAAGGCTAGGCTTACTTCCCTCTTCTGACTGTAGTTGTCTGCTCCTTCTTTTGCATGAGCTCTTGTGCTTGTCTGACATCCCCAGCTTTTTGAAGCAGCATGAAACACTCACTTTTGGTGGCAGCAAGCTGTCAGATTGTCCCGGCTGTCTTGCACAACCTCACCCCTGGTGCCTCTGGGTCTCTAAGAATGAATTTTTCTATTGCTTCAGAGGCTTGGCTCTGTTATTTTCTGCTTCTTTCAGGCATCTCCTAATATCTGCTCTCGCCACAGGCTTCCTGTCTGCTGGGTTATGCACCCATGCTCCAGCCGGCTTTCCCAGCTCAGGGCACTCCTTCACCCAGAGCAGAGCAGGCACAGCAAGGCAAACCGGCAACCCCCTGCCCGGCCACTGAAAGGGAACAGGGTAGATACGACACTCTGTGCATGCATTGGCAGACAGCATCCTACTCCTTCATACCTAGAGAGGGGCAGCAGTGCTGACTGGTTGTAGATATGCTAGAAGTTATAGCCTCTTAGGCTGTCAGGGGAAACTGGACATGTTTCTGTAAAGGGAACTTTAGACCTAAAATCCAGTGGCAATTATTTAAGGTTTATTGCATTCCCTCTGATTGTTTTAGCAAGAAACTCATTAATTATTTGAAAAATAATGAATTTATACTTTTGCTATCAAGAAACAGCTTGCTAGCAAAGTTATACATGAATTATTTTTTCAAATAGAATTGACAATTTTAGCAAATATTAAAAATATATATTTTCTGAGCATTTAACAGCTTTTTTCCTGGCCACTCAGTTGCATACTTATGGGTTTTTTTTCAGATAAGATCCAGAACATCAAAGATGCAGCCATCTTCTGCTTCTACTTTTACTTCTACTCCTGGGATAAGTACTTCACAGCTTTATGAATGGGAGAGGTACTTTCCATTGTCTGGAAAGATATTCTGATTAATAGTGTGTACAGGTAAAAATAGTTGTAAAAATATTACTGAAATCATGTACAACAGGTCATAATGACCCATTAAGATCAGTTCAATGGTGCTTCAAAATAGGAATGGTCAGGAAATTGCTGTTCCTGGAAGTAAAATTCAAATAATGTATATTTATGCAGTATAGTTTCTGGGTTTTATTGAAATACCAAAACATAATTTTGGAAAAAACTCAAACATTTTAGATAAAATTAGATAATAGATAATTTAGATAAATTTTTCTATCCAGTGAAAAACCCCTTTTCTTCTTGGAAAAGATTTTGGCAGGAACTCTTACCATATACATTGAAATGTATTTTGAAGGACTAGAAATTGAGTTTGGATATGACATAATTCTAGTGAAATCATTTTGCACAGGAGGAATTTTGCCATTTTGGAACAAAAATGTGCTAAAGAAGCTAACCTTCACAAACAAAAGCATTTTTGTATTAACAAGACTTATGGCCAGTGCTCTCCATAATGATCCTCAGTGGCCAAAAGTATGCACATCTACACACAGGTGTAAATAAATCCTTGGTCTTCTGGAAAAATAAGGACAACTCTTAGAGGTTCATTTTTATTCCTAAGTTGTCTGGATGATGCTGGCCATGTATGAATAGAGGCAGTGGCATCATTTTCAAAATTACAGAGCATTTATTTTCCATGGGTATCAGTAGATGGTGATAGCATGGAATAGCTCTTAAAATCAGACCAGCTAATATCATCAGAAAGATACATAAAGATACTTTGGAGGGAAATTTTGCCCAATATGGTAAAATTAAGAAAAAAAAAAAGGGTCCAATATGTTGTCATGGAATTTAAACTGCCTCAGACTGAACCGACGAGTTAAATGTAAATATGTATTTTATAGATGGAATTGAAAGCTACATGGCAGTAACATGAAACATTACATATTTGGCAAAAGTGTTTAACTACTGCTTGCATGTGTCCTCTCTCATTGGTCTTACTTCAGATGCAAAATGTCTTCTAAATGTCTTTTTCAAAATGTCTGCAATAGATAGGCATGTAGGCGATGCCACCCTGCCATCAGACAGCCCGCTTCCTTAGCTCAATATCTCCCTGTCCATTGGGGTCGGTTCCCTGGGAAGCGTGATTTCTCCTCATGACCCTGTATCTGCTCATTGACCCTGAGCCCAGCACGCTCACTCTTACAAATATGGACTCATAAGCTGTGTCAACAAGCCTACCAGAGTTTCCTGGAAGTTAGTGGTAAAGCAGCGTGTCCCATGTGCATCATTTTGTATGGGCAAAATAGCCTTGCAGGAGGAGGAGCCTCTGCTCGCTGCTACCCTACTTACTCTGCCTCGTAGATTTCCTCAGTGGAGCTGGGACCCAAAGACTTTTCACAGCAAACCCACTCAGGGAAAACTGTGAAGCCTACAGAAACACTGCTGTAACTCTGCCAAAAGTACAGGCAAAATATAATTCTGTACAAATTGTGTATCAGAATCAGATGCTGGGAATGAGAAGGGTAGCTGAATTCCCTCGGTCTCCTTGACTGATGGAGATTGAAGCAGCTGCAAAGAAGACCAGTTTCAAAGCTATGAAAGAGAACTCCTCAGAAACCCAAAAACATTTGGGAGTATTTTTTCAGAAAAGGTGAGCTGACAATTCTTTGTAGGCAGCTGTAAAAAAAATCGGTTCTACTTTTTAGTACTAATGTTATCTACCACAATTGCGCTTAGATAGCTCATGTTATACAGAAAAATGTGTGGATGCATTTACAGAATGATACAAAGTAGCATTGAGGTTACCTAGGTTCAGCTACCTAAAAGTTAGATATCTAAGTTAGGCTAGTGGTCTTGGTATCTTTCTAACGGACAAGGCAAGTGCTTCCAGCGGAAAGTTCGTTACTCTATTGTTAGACCTCTGTCTTGGCATATTGCCTTCTGGGGGTCCCCATTCTTCCCTGAGACTGTTCTACCCTCTGAGGAAGTCTCATTAAAAAAAAACCCCACAATTTATTTATCACTTATCTAAGAATAAGCTATTGGAGGGCTATGTTATGGGAAAACGGGCCATATTTAAAAAAAAAAAATATGTCATAGCTTGTCAGCTGAGCAATAGTGATCAATTACTGCACACTCCTCATGATATTAATCCTAGGTTTTCCTCACCAAGGCTAAACAAATGGGTGACCTGCTGTATTTGAGCTCAGCAGAATCAGCTGAAATCTTACAATATGTTGTTTACTGGTAAATATGACACAAAGTTTCTGTGAAGGAAAAAAAATTACCTGGAATTTTATATCCTGGTGATAAATTCCGTTAACTCCACGAATGCTATGTTTTCTTTTAGATGAAGCTGTATGTGGTTTATTGGACATGAAAAAGTATTTAATACCTCGATTTGAGTTTAAGCAAGAATTACAGTACACGAATGTAACATTTTTCATCCTGTACACCGCAGCTCAGGTGCTGCCTAACTGCAGAAGTGAAATTACTCCATTTTTGTCTTAAAGGTCTCTAGACACCCAAACTCTGCTTCAAGACATGTCCAAGCACTCTTCTGTCTTAACAGGCTCTGAGCCCTAGGGCTTCTTGAAATTATGTACAGCTCGTTTGAACTTCACAGTTAGATCTCATCTTTCCCTCATACTCAGCACTTTTGGAATAGGAGGGCTCTTTATGAGCCTCCATCTGAGCCTCTCCAGATGGTAACATTTGAAAATGCTAATAATTTTTACAAACCTTTTGCAAAGCTAGACCATGTAGTGTTGATTCTCCAGAACGGCATTCAGTACAATAAAATACTTGCTAATACTGGTCTGCCTACACAAGCCCAAAAGAACTAACTATCTTGGTTTTACTAAAATTTTATTTTTAGCCTGTCACTTTTAAAATGCTTTCTTCACCTCAGAATTACTTGCAGGCTGAATAGCTCATAACAGCTCTTCTGGTAATTGCAACTCGGCTCAAAATTCTTGGCATTGGTCTGAGGAGAAATGTGCCAACCTGGGAAGCAGGGTCTTCTGGTGGCCTGAGGGGAAACATTGGCAGGAGGCTAAGGCACTGTTGGGAAGGCATTTGAAAGGTAATGGCATGTAAAGTAGTGTATATGTGTTGGTTAATATAGCACAACATAATTATCTGTGTTCTCTGCAGAAAGATTCAGGAAAAGAAAGAAATTCCCATTTCTAGCAGCTTCTCTTCCCTGAACCTAAGTTTACAGACTTCCCACAGAAACTTAATTTAAAGGCCACTTAAATCTTTATGACATTATGAATGCCAGCCTACATTTTACACAGACGTGTCTGAACACAATTTTTCAGCTGCTCCTTGTCTGGCATGCTGAGAGGTGCTGGGCAGTTCCACACAGGAGCTCCAGTTTCATCCCATTTAAAGATTATCTGACTAATAGGCACTTGGGGCAGCATCCTAAGCCCTCTCTATAGTTACTGAAAAGCAATAAATCCCCCTGACTGGCAAATGTTGTGTCTGATTTTAGATGGATTGAATCAATTTTCAGTCTCCACTGGCGCTACAGCAACTGTGTTCCTAGTTGAGATGCTGCAGATGCGGATGAAGATGGGGATGAATTGTGTCAAACTGTGCTCTGTACCAGCACTGGACTCGCCACTGTCATCATCCCACTAGGAATAAGTGATTCTGAGTTGAGTGGGTTTAAACTGCTGGGGTGAAAGGGAAAGCAATCAGGCCCCACATGTATAGGAGGGCAGATCTCTGGGTATTTTGCTGTCAGGAGAGCAGAGGTCCAAGCTGTATCTAGCTGTAAAGGCTATACCCTTGTCCTGGTTTCAGCTGGGATAGAGTTAGTTTTCTTCTTAGTAGCTGGTAGAGCACTGTGTTTTGGATTTAGGATGAGAATAATGTTGATAACACACTGATGTTTTGGTTCTTGCTGAGCAGAGTTTACACTGGTCAAGGACTTTTCAGCTTCT